GTGAATCAGAATGAAGCTTGGGGAGGGTGGTTATTAGGTTTAATATTTATTTTTAGAGGAGGTATTGAGGATTGAACAGAGGACCTAATGTATGCCAAGCATGCACTCTACTACTTAAGCTATACCCTCCCCACGAAGCTTCACTTTTTTAAATATCCAGAAAAATTATTTTTCTGCAGAAAAATGAGCCAAGTTATCCATATCTTATCTGCAGTCTTTTCTCATGCCTTTTAACTGGGAGGTGGGACAGTGCATCAAGTTACAGTCATTATTATTACTGATTTCTGTTTTTTAAATTGCTGTTTTAATAGTTTTATTAAAAACTGAAGAGACAATGATATTCTAGTTCCTGCATTGTCTCCACTTAACCTTGTTCCCAGGGAAACAGCTAACGTCTCAAATCAGACCCTGCATAATTATTGACTACAAAGGAAGTATGCTATAATGAGACATTTGCACTTTAACAGAATGAAAATGACCAGCTTGTTTTTTGCCTTAGCATCAAATTGAAGTCTCTGATTTTCACATAGAGACCAGCGTTTTCTACTAGACATATGCTGACAGGAACAGGTTACATTACTTAACATGTTCTCAAGTGCAGAATGTTACTATTTTCAGCAGCACGCTATTCTAAATTAAAACAAAGACATAACTAAAACCATCTTTATTTTTAGATACTACTGACTGCCTCTTTTGGAAGAAGCACAGCTTTGAAGTCATTCTGTTAAAGCATAAGTGGAGACATAACTGCTCATAAACTATCATGGATGAACATATTTCCCATGACCAAGAAGCTTGAAATTAAAATGATTTATTTTTAAAAACTGCATACATTTTTATTACTAAAAAAAAGAACTAAGCACAAATCTTGAATATACTACATAATTTCTATAAAACAATTGCAAATCTCCTACCTTTTATAAACAGCCCTTTTCTAAAGAAAGTACTTTTGACACAGTTAAAGAAAGTGATACATGAATCATCTGCAGTTAGAAAAAAAAATAAATGAAATACTGAGAATTCTTTTTCATAATCACTGTCAAAACTTCTAACTTACACTTCTAAATAAATGTTTTTAGTTGAAGATTTACAAATGTTCAAATCAGGCAGTTCTATAATAACTGGAATTGTGCCTAAAAATATAACACGCATGGACATTTTATTTTGCTCAAAATTCCAAATGGTAAAAGGAAGGCTGACTAACTCAAAAACCTAGCCGCATTTACCACTACACTTGAACAAACTAAAATAAACATTAAGAGAACATCTGGGAGAGAGAACCTTACAGATAGTGCACCCATTCAGGTCCCTTCCATGTGGGGAGAAATGGTTCTGGGAGAATCATGAATGACTGATGGTATGACTTCAGATGTGATAACTGAGATTCATAATGAAGGCCCCACATCCTTTGGGAACTATTAAAATACATTCTGAATATTCTGATTACAGACAGAATTAGGGAACATATTTGAGAGAGGAAGAAAAGGAAGGAAAGAGAAAAGAAAAAACAAAAAAAGAAAATACCTGAAGAGTAAAATTCTAGGACAGGGTTTTTCAAATGGTAGGGATCATGAAGCCAATTAAGTGGATTTCAACCAGTATCTTTTAACTAAATAGAATAGCATAAAATAGAAAACTTAACAGAATTTCAGACCTGTTTTAAGAGAGCACATGAGAGTAACACAAAGACCACATACACTGGGTTGCAATGTAAGGCTCATTTCTTTGAATGCAGTTAAGAATAATTTAAAAGTTCTTTGAAAGATCAAATATTGTGGTAAACCTCAATTTAATATCTCATTAACATTAAGATTTTTCATTATATTGGCCTTTAAAATTTTTGTTAAAGACCCAAACCATAATTCAAACTAGATTCTTTCAGATGTAACTCCATGAAAGTTAAAGTTTTGACTCTTGAGAGTTCAATTAACTGCTTTATGACATTAGGTATAGCACTGCTTTCCCAATACTGGTAACCTAGCAGGCCAGGATAGTATACAGATTTAGAAAATAACTGAGAAGAGACAAAAAAAAATCTGAAAATTTTAATGACAATTTCACTAAAACTTTATTAGACAAGTCTGCATGCTATAAATATAAAATTTCTCTGTGCACACACAGGATAGGCACCATCAATACTAAAATTCTCTGTAAACTAAATGTATCCACTGAACGGGAAATTAAGAACCAACATCACTGAGACAGTCTAATAACCAGCGACAAGAAGCCAAGCCTGGCTAATAAAAAAAGCAATAAATTTAACTAAAGACTTCTCATTCTGAATTAAAAGCATACCAAACTTAGAAGACGGTAATACTTTATTTTTCATTAAATAGTCATACAAGTTCCATTCATAGATACCCAAATTCATTTGTTTAAAGTTTATAGTTGAAGAAATATACATTTCTCAAACTTAATAAGAATACTCATTTTCAAATATGACAACATACTTTTTAAACATATACTGTACAAAACTGTATGAATAAAACACATAAAAATATCTAAGTTAGGAAGCCAATGTATTATAAAGTCTAACCCTAAAGAAATGGGTTGTTAGTAGATTCTTCTACAGCATAAGCAATTCTCAAAGAATTAAAACATGAAAGACTATCATATAACATTTTAACATCAAGAAACAAAAGAGGTATTTTGCTAAGATGAAATAATAGAATTCAATTAGTAATTCATTGAAATAAATTTTTTAAACTAGGTATACAGTTTTACTCTCCTCATAAGAGGAGTAAACAGTCTGTAGAGTCTCTGGGATTTAGAAATCATAATAGAATAATTAATTCTAATTAACCTAGATATTAACTCTGTCAATGAGGAGTAAAAGTTGGCTATAGGGTCACATGCAGAGAGTAATGATAAATGGCAACCCAGTCTATCAAAAGAGATAGCCACTAAGGAGCCACATTAATTAATATGAAAGTAAGAAACAAGGGGAACCACAGCCACATTTCTAGCTTTTAAAGAGAATGTGTATGTTAAGAAATCACATGCCAAACAGCCACAATCAAATGTAACTTTGCCCCTCAATTTAACAATAGCAGCCAACCCAGTTTTCTGTTTTTGAAGTCTAAAGTTTACTATGTGCTTAACTAACTTTCAAAGTATACTTCATATGGATGAAAAGCACAGAGTTTCTTAGGGTAAATGTCTTACAAAATGCAAAGAGGATTAGAACTCAATGGCATGAGTGAC